AATTTTAATATATGTATATTAAATATATATATATGCACATGATTCTAGTATACCAAGGCTAGTTCCAAGGCAGTTCTTATATAATTTATTCCTGAGTTATTTTTTAAATTTATAATGTTGCCGCTGTTGGTCAATGAAAGGCACACTTTTGGGGAATTTGTATTCGTCTGACAAGTAAATATATGTTGATTCATTCAATTTTCTTACTCTCTAACGGCATTTTCTATCTACAATATTATTTGAACTTAATTTCAGAGTGCACAAAAAACGTCATTCTCTCTTCAAATATGATATTCCAGAGCAGACTGTTCTACTTTTCATTTGGCTATAGTCTATGTCACTCCAGTTTTAATTGAGTAACTTTATAGAATTTTTCACATTCATGTAGTTTTTTCTTCAGATAATCGTCTCGTAAGGGACAAAATTTAGTAAAAAAAAAAAAACTACGAAGAATATTTATGCTAGTGAAAATTAAGACAATTCAAAATATGCAAATCTGAAATCAAGCAAATACTGCTAAATAATAGGAAGTTTTAGTTTAACGTCTGCCCAACATTCGACTATTTGAGGCGGGAATCAATCTCATTCTTGTCTTCGGACAAGACACGGTACAAAATGAATGCAGCTTAGCTTAATCTCTGGAGATTCCAACACTGAAACTGCACCTTCTCGTTGCGCTAACAGAGTAGGTTGTAGGTCGCCCTGACATATTTTCAAGCCCTGGCTTTGGAGATTTCGCAATTTTTGTTTCTGAACGTGTGAAACTGCACATTAAGCCCAACCTTGTCATATCTACCCCCGTGGGAAGATAAATATGATAATCTGCTTTATTAATTTGTGTGTTTATAGTTTATGATGACGTTTAACCGGATGGGAAACAAAGATGTACCATATTCTTCACTGTTGCATAAACTTCTTAAAGAGAGTAATTCAATGCAAACAATAAAGAATGTTCGTACTGTGTACCTAGATGAACTGATGCAACCTTTATACCCACCAGACTGAGCAGCTTCCGATTGTAATTTGTTTCGATCACTAGAACATGTTCTGAGTGTCAGAGCAATAAAAAAAATAGACTTCACTTCCAATTTCTCAGCTTTCCTTTTAAACAGAAAAGAGTGCGATTTTTTCGATATAAAATGAAAAAAAAAAAAAGATTTACGTTACGATACTTTAATTGCTAGAAGCATTGATTTTGGTATCAGGAATTTACATCCCTCTTATCGCTTTGAAAATACGATATTAATTTCCAAATAACGTATATGTAATATTCGCATACACATGTGGACCTAGTATGACGATAAACTATATCTAGCAGCAAAGGAAGATTGGAAGTTTTGAGGAGAGTGGGACCACTTCTTAATAGCTATTGTTCCCAGATCCACTGTGACCCGGGTGGTAGCACCTGTTAGGGTTCAAGCTATGGGCAAATAGTGAGCCCCCCCCCCAAGTAAAAAGAAAACATTAAGAAAGTGTAAATATACATTTTTATAGTAAAAATATCTGCAATACATTTAAAAAAAAAAATTACCAACAATACATGTTATCTGTGGTTGAAGGCATACAATTGCGTTCAAAATGTTTAGATTTCGGCATTAAATAACCCATAGAGGTTGATATGACGCGAAACAAAATCAACCAACCAACACACGTGGACCAATAAATTAAAACATGAATGGTAAAAGTAGAGTGTTATTCCCTCCCCTTATATAGGCAGTCAAATGACACCTTTAAAAATTGAACGAATAGGTCGGTAAATATAAAATATAAATGTGTTTTAAAACTAAGAATATATTATATTTGAGATAGTCAGCGCAGTGGTTGTATGAGCTGCGGAGGCAGAACTTGAACAACATTGATTCTATGGACTGTGATTGTTGACTTCAGTGGTTATACCTGGCGTATAAATGGCAACAGAACCATGCCCATGGTCAAGTTTTAGATTTGCAAAATTGTTATTCAGGGACTTCTATATTTCTTTTTAATAATTGATGATGAATAAATGATTTTAACTTGTGTTTTAACAATTGATGGTCGAAAAGATTTTAAATTGTCTGAACAATTGATGGTGAAAATAAATAAACGTCTGTGTTAAATCTATTTGTTGTTATTTTTTAACATTACCTGCTTTCATAATAATAAAAATATTTACCGGCAAAATAGACCCCAGGCTATTTTGCCGAGACCGGTAAAATAAACTTAAAAGCATGTTTCTCCATTTTACCGGGACCGGCAAAATAGCCTCTTCCAAGATAAAAGCAACGCAAAATTGAAAATTCCTTCTTTTTCTCGGATTTCCATACGGCGAACATGACACAAAACAACACTAAAGTAGGAACTAATTTCGACGACTTGCTTTTCCCAACTTTTTTCACACACAAAGAAACACTTGGTGTTACTGTTAAATGGAAGTAAAACATGATCTATTAGGTTACGGTTTGTTTTCCTTGTCCTTCTTTTATATTTTAGATTTCCTTTTTTGTACTTGAACATGCTTACAGCGTATTTCTGAAATACGCCTTAATATAAATATTTTATGGGTAATTAAAATTGCTCCTCGAATATTTTTATATTTCCACACTGAGTTTATAACGATTATTGAACAGAAACAAACAATTTGATAAACGAAGCAAAATGTAGATTTTTCCATTGATTTATTTTATTTTATTTTTTTTTTTACATTTTTCTTTTCAGCTTTATTTTTCGACCCGGACAAAGATTCTTGTGATTGGCCAAATCTTATTCCTGCTCCATGTGGAACCAAGAAAACGCAATAAATGACCTCATTCTTGGATATCAGACATTACAGAACCCAGCAGATACTTCACTCTTGCAGAAAAATGAAAGCAAGAATTTAAAAATTCCACTGATTATCTATACACGAAACATAAAAATGACATTAATATTCGATGAAAAATTATTAATAGAGTTTTTACTAAAATTAATAGCTTTTAATTTTTTTTTACTAAAATTAGAAACATTAGAAAATACATTTGATTTCATTTGATGGCAGTTAATAAATCGAAGTTGTTTGAAATTCTGAGAAATATTTTCTTTATTAGTTTTTAACGCAATTTGGCCTTTTTGTTGATTTTTTATTACAACGTTTGAGGTCGAATATTCACCACCAAACGGTTTAAGGGTCTAGGTAATCATTGAAGAAGGAAGTGGCGACCTGAATGCTTACAGACATGAATCTTGGCTATGTAGGCTGTCCTTTGACGAATTTATAATAACTTCTTGTCAAACGAATTTTTATGCAACTTTAAATCTCGTTAGAAGCTAAATCTTTTCGGATTTCACTGTTCAACGGACTTTTGTTGTTGTTTTTCATCATTTTACCCCAAGCAAGGTGTTGGGTCAGTAAAATCCATCTGCTCCAATATATAGAGATAGGTCACATGATATGAGGCTGTCTCTCATTGGTTAATTAAACCACATAGGTTTGGAAAAAGCTGACCACAAGAGAAGAGATTCAAACTTGCTCTGAAGCGATACCTAAGGAATTCTCTCCGCCGCCGTGGTACCAGTTACCAACGGTTTAAAGATACAACTTCTCTGGTACTATTGCCCACCACTAGATGGATAAGTCCGCCTGACATATTCTCTCTATATAGGAAAAGACATTGTGCTTATGTTAATCGTGGTATTCATGTTTTTAAACGTAAATAAATAACTTTATTAAGTTTTCATTCTTATTCGTGTTAGTCCCAAAGTAACGTGGGACTAGTACAATAAAGGTAATGAGCTACTTACACAAGGGTGAGAGAATATGAGAAAAACACTATTAAGGAGAGAAAACATTAAAAGAACAGGAATTAAGAAGACACAAGATAACAATTTGCATTGCATTTAAATTTATGAAGATCAAAGTTGACTGGGAAGCAAGAAACCAAAAGAGCATTCCACATGCAAGAAGTGTAAAAGAAGAAAACTTTAGCATAGAAGTTATGGTTACATTTCAACTGTAAAATGATGAGACCTTGCCACTAATCTAGTATTTCACTTAAATTCATAAAGTCTTAGTACCATAGAGAAAAGTTCATTAGAACAATTACCATGAAAATATTTATAGAAAAGACACAATGAAGCTACATTAGGGCGGTGGAAAAGTAACTGAAGCAGAGATGCCAGGTCAGGATGAATAACATTGCAGATTCTTTGGATTTTATCAAAAATCTCTAAATATATAACAGGAGCAAACCAGATCAGATGAAAACACGAATCCCATTTCTAATATACTTGGGTGTGTTATTCAGGGCTTTGCTTGCTCAGTCTAGGTAGGGGACATTTAAAAGACCCAACTTCAAAGACTTCATTTGTTGGCCATAAAACAGAAACACTTGAGATCGATATAAAAATCACACTTTCCTTCTCCTATGTGAGTATCCCATTCATCGTGTCAAAGATGTTCGCAACAGAAAACTAATGGAATTGGAATCTGCATTGGCAGAGGTAAAATACACAGATTTTGTACTATGAACTACTTGTACGACTGCAAGCTATCGACTCCCTTGCCTGCTATCAACAGTGGAGATACTTACGGTCTCAACAGCTTATACATGGGTAGATCATTTAATTTATTGTGTCCGTGGATTTTGATTTTTGTGGCGTGACATAGAAGATTCTTGAACATCTTGTTTGTCACTGACTAAAAAAGAATACCTTGGGAATTTCACACCATCTATAAAAACCCAACGCCTTTTTAATTTTCCACAACACGTTTATTATCGATATTACGACTAGAGCCATCCTTTCATAGGATTTAACGTTTTTATTCGAGACTATATCTGGATAAGAGTTTTAGGTTTTAGCAAGTTGCCCATCGATTCAACCAACGGTTTTTTTGTTTATATATATATATATATATATATATATATATATATATATATATATATATATATATTAGTCAATTTTAACGCCTTCCAAGCTAAACATTTCTCCATTAATCATGAAAGAATTGGCTGCTTCACTTCTCCTCCTTCGTCTCCCGCTTGCAGACCGCGGGGTCGCTTTCGTTACGACCGCGAGCAGTCGTAGATTGCAAGACGTTGACTACGGCCACACGCGCGAACAGCAGCAGTGGTAGCACCATCGTTTCGCTCTCGGAGGTCGAAATACAAACCTTGGGCGTCTCGAAGCCAGTCTCTGCCGCCGCCCTCTGCCGTCACTGTGCGTGGTCGCGTTTTGCTGTCGTCGAAACTTACCTCAAACACACCGCCGCCCTCGGCTCGGACGAGACGACCCGCTGAACTTAAGCATATCGCTAAGCGGAGGAAAAGAAACCAACCGGGATCCCCTTAGTAACGACGAGTGAACCTGGAGAAGCCCAACGCCGAATCTATATATAAGTCAATTTTAACGCCTTCCGAACTAAATATCTCTCCATTAATCATCTAAGAGACCCCTCTCTGCCTTCAATCAGCCGATGCAAACCTCTAGGAAAATGACTCGTTGCACCTTCTCGGGCTAACGTTCTCAGCTGTCATGAAGTGGAAAGACTATATGGAATCCATTGCCAGCTTAGCTGCTAAAAAGGTCAGTTCACTGTGTCATGCGAGACAATTTTTTCTCCGGAATCTATCTTACATATCTATGTCTTACCATTCGTCCATGCTTAGAATATTGCTGCCAAATGGACCGGTGCTTCTGCTATTTACCTTGAGGTCCTTGATAAGATCCAAAGAAGAATCAGCAATGTTATTAGTCCTGATTTGGTGGTTCGGCTTCAGTCACTTACCCACCGTCGTAAGGTTGCCTCTTTATGCCGTTTTTTATAAATACTTTCATGGTAATTTTTCGGATGAGCTCTTCACTATTGTACTTAGACTCTATGAATTGAAGCGCAGTGCCAGACTGAGTGTCAAGATCTTATCAATTGCTACCGTAAGTTCTATGCTAACAGTTTCTTTTGTGGAACTCCCTTCCGGCTCCATGCTTTGCAGCTAATTTTAATCTGCAAAACTTTAAATGCGATGTCAATCGCTATCTACTGTCCTCCTGATTACTCTTTCCTCTTCTTGCTCATTAAAAATGTTTCTGTTCTTTAATCCCTTGCGTTTAAGTGGGTTTACTGCATTGCTTGGGGTGATACCGATTAGCATATATATATATATATATATATATATATATATATATATATATATCTGTATACGCGTTGGGACTCATTTTGCCAGAGAAAACGCAAAATCAATCTCATCAAGACCTTAACTCATAGGGCCTTGATGATCTGCAGCCAACAATATTTGGATGAAGAATTGGATTTTATCCGCTGCACTCTATTGAAAAATGGATATCCTAGTGATATTCTTGATAGTGTCATGCGTGATAAAATTATTAATTTTCGAAAGGAAAAACAATACTTGGTTCAGAAATGCCCCATTTACCTGCGGCTTCCCTTTATTGGCTCCCGGGGCGAGCTTGTGGCTAGGCGGGTCTTGTCTGCTGTCCATCACTGCTATTTCTCAGCTCAACTAAGAATTCATTTTGCGACTCGTTCTGCCTTTCCCTCTATGCGTAAGGATCCTCTTCCTCCCCATCATGTTTCCTCCGTGATATATTCTTTTAATTGTGGTTGCGGTAGCAACTACATTGGAAGGACTTCCCAACGTTTAGATTGTAGGATCAGGCAGCATGTCCCATTGCGAGTTCTTAATCCGGATGCTCGTAAGAGCCAGTTGGTTAATATTTCCGGGTCAGCGATCATTGAACATTTAATAAATTGCAGTGATTGTGCGAGGAACTTCAGTCCGAATTGGTTTACTGTACTGTCCAGTTCGCACTCTCCATTTCATTTTAGGGCACTTGAGTCTCTGTATATTCGGTCCAGGGAGCCGTCTCTTTGCAAGCAAAGAGACTGTCTCCTTGGGCTTCACGTTATTACACTCTAGTGTCTATCATACATTCCCCTCACATTCCCTGTTATAATTTTTTTTTCCCCTTTGTGCTGTGCATATTTGCACGGTTTGAAAATATATATATATATATATATATATATATATATATATATATATATATATATATATATATATATTTTCCCTCATACCATTAATCATTTCATTTTTTAATATTTTAATTGTATGTAGGTTGTTTGTGTGAATTAATATATATTGCAATAATTGTTAAATTGTTCCCAGTCGACCCTGATGAGCTTGGGAACGAAACCGGTTGGTCTGTTCTGTAAGTGTTATCATCTCTTATTTTTTATTTTTCATAATGCCTTTAGGAAATAATATACTCCTTGCAATATATATATATATATATATATATATATATATATATATATATATATATATATATATATATATTATATATATATTCTCGACTATTCTCACGTCGAATTCAATGTATAAGGGTCAAGCAGGTCAGTTTTAGAAATAGCTCGACACCAGCACATGAGATTTGATTATACTGGTGAAGGTTTTGTGCAGAACCATCCACACTTTTTGAAGGGCCCGATTCAGAAACCTGGTGCACTACGTCCCCAAACGATCCTCCGCAGGTTTTCAGAGTTGTCCTTCTCCTAGAACAGTTGCCATCCAAGGTTATATAACCCAGTCTTTCCCAAGAGTATTAGCGTCGTAAGTGAACGTAATGGATTCGACTGGAATTCGAACTCGACTCTCCAATCCAACCCGCTATCCACTATTCCACCGTACCTATATATATATGAAATTATTTATTATTATTTTACTACTACTATTAATATTATTGAGTGGACTTCACTGCTGAATGACTGACGATTAGCAAAAGTAAGGCTTTACTTTACAATGATGTTCTTCTTGTACAAGGCCCAACAGCAACTCGAGGTAGAGGGTTAGAGAGTAAAAAGCACCACCCCAAGCAAGGTGATAATTCCACCAAAACACAAGGGAAACACTGGAAGAAGGAAAAGATTTAGAAGGAACCGGAACCTCACTCCTAAACAAGAAACAAGGAATAAAAATCTACTCCTGTTCAAAAGACCGGGGAGGAGAATGAACCGGGCGATAAGCGAATCTGTCTACTATTTAGGAAAAAAAAGTATATAAATAATAAATAAAACTTGAGAGATTTAGGCAATGGAGAGTTGAAGTAGACTTTAGAAGGAATCAAAAACCTAATCCTAAACAGGAAACAAGAGATAAACATAAAAAAAATCGCGGATGTGTGTGAACTGAGGATAATGGTTAATTTAAAGAAAGTTCTGTTGCGGGATTCAACATTTTTGATGATTTTTTAACGTTCTTGGTACATTTGACTTGCAAAGAATATTGGCGGACTCATGTGCGTCCTGGCTAAAATAAGTACAAGACAAAAATTTAAACAAGCAAATATATTGATAGGATATTTTACTAAAAGGGCAAATAAGAAATGAAATTAAATGTGAAGAGTTCAAAGCAATCTTTAATGTTTGTAGTTGAGGTAATTACGGGAGCAACAAGATAACGTATTTTCGCTATGAAAGTCACTAAAGAAAAAAATAGATTCTTTCAAATCTCGCGCCGCCTGTAACGATCTCCTTGATGTCATAGGTTCCCAAGTAGGCATCTATGCGGACGACAATACTATTTACTGCTACCTCAAAAACAAATCTAGTGTCGCCGACAAATCTAACCTGGCCGTTTGTATCGAAAAGGACCTCCAATCGGTTGTGGACTGGGACAGGAATTGGCTGGTTAGCTTTAATACCTAAAAAACAAAACTGCTCTCTATTACTCACCACAGGTAACCATCCCTGCCTCCCATTAGAATGCCTGACGCTCAACTCCACGACAGCACCTCTTTGCGACTGCTCGGTCTCACATTGTTCGCTGACCTGAGATGGAACGAATACATTGAGTCAATTAGTCTTAATTAGTTTTTTTTTTTTTTTTACGAATTGGTCAAACCCAAACTCAAGCAAAAACATTTTTCAATCGTTATGAGTCTATCGACTGAATAGAATTTTATTATAAACAATTGTCTTGTAAATGGAATTTTAAAGCATTCTGAATGTAAAAATAAAGAAAAAAGTGTGCAAGACAATAAGAAACAATATAAACGAACACACACACACACACACACACACACACACACACACACACACACACAACCTGGGTTTTATAAGTATAACTCGATGAGTTGTCCCCCTTTCATTCTGGCGACAGAATCGTGTTTTATCGTGTTTTCAAATTGATTTCATGCAAAAACAATTGTGTTTTTTCAATTTTTGGCGCTGTCAGAACCACCGCAAGGTAATTTTACGCAGTCCTGTGAAGTTTTGTTGAAATCGGTTGAAAAATGTAGGAAATCCGATCCAATATATAAACGTACACACACACACACACACACACACACACACAATCTCCGTTTTATAATAAGTAAGATGTGGAAGTACGGGAATGTGCATCTGCAACAATATTGTCTGCACCTTTTATATATTACATGGTGATTTTCTAAGCGTAGCTTAAATGTGGCGCAGGGCCGAAAGTGTGGAGCACCCAGTGAGGTTTGGAGCTCGCGATTCAGTCGTAGTTGATCTAGGAAGACTAGCATGCTAACCATTGCCCCACGTCGAAGCACCCGCCTTTTATATATTGTATGTCCGAAGGAAATTGTGAAATGTACTCCAGATATCTTGTTTCACGTGGCGAATATTAGTCGGGCTTGTTTGTAAAGGACACAGGTAAGTGGCGTATGGTCTGTAAATACAGTGAATTCGCGTCCCTCTAAAACAACATTTCTCATCCGGTGTGCCTGGAAGCACTAATACGCCCTGAAAAGTAGCCAGGTGCCATCCAAGTTAACAGAAGAGTAATTATTTTTATATTTAAAGGTAAAATCATTATTTTTAAAAAAGCTAGGGACACCAAATACACAGCTTCCATGTCTAACTTGTCTTTGCCATTTGATATTTTTAACTGGATGCTAAATTCCTTAATCTTTAAGAAAGAGTGAATAATCCTTTCCCTTCCTTAAGGGATTTAAATCACTTATTATCGGCCTCAATAAAAAAAAAATGTAGCAGATTCTTTATAAATCCCTTTAAATGAAAACTGTAACGTTAATTTTCTTTGGTAATGCTGAAACAAAATTTCATATTCATCGGAATTTTATTCCTATCACATCTAAGATCTTGTGCCAGACACAAAAACTTAGTCTAGTAAGAATAGGAAAATATAATAGGCGCAAGATTACAAAACAAGAAGACCACTGCGTAAAATCTTAAAAGGAAAAACATTTATTTTACAATATTACAAAAAAAAAAAAAAGAAAGATACAAAATTGCACA